AAAAAATTTTTTTTTAAAGGGAGGACGTCAAAGTTAGAAAAATAAAAAATTTTTTATAAAGAGGAAATAGAAATAGAAAGAAGAAATTTTTTTTAAAAAAAAAAGAAGGGTGGGAATAAAAGAATAAAATCAAAAAAAATTTTTTTTTAAAAGGGGGGTGACGAAAAAAGAAGAAAAATTTAGAAAAAATAACAAAAATAAGACAGAAAGGAAGATCGGAAGATCAAACTCATCAAAGTAAGGGTTTATATAAAAAACAAAAAACGTATCATAACAAAAACAATAAACAATCACGTGATCTCGTGTTATGATACGAGATTTTTGTAAAATTATTTTCTAAAAATATTTTAAGTTTAAAAATTCCGTATACATTCCGTATGATTAATTTTTTCCGTATACATTTCGTATACATTAGTTTTTTTAAAAAATGTTCAAAAATGAATTGCTTATTAAATATACGGAATTTGTATACGGAATCTATAGAAACGTACATAAAATGTATACAAAACGTATCCTTTCCGTATACATATTTCTTATAGGGCGTTAGCACGTGATTATACTTGTCCTACGTTATTCAATAATAATAAAAATCGAATTTCTTATAAAACGAATTTTTTTAATAAATTTTAATAAAAAACAAATTTTTTAATGATAAAAAATGAACTTTTAACAATAAGAAACGTATTTTTTAAAATAATAATATTATATATAATTTAAATTAATAAATTTTTTAAAAATGATAAATTTTTTCAAGAATAAAATAAAAATCAAATTCTATTTAAAATAACGAAATTTATTTAGAATAAAAAAAATTTTTTTAAAAAAGATAAAAATTGAATTTTTTTAAAATTGAGTCCAGAACAGCGTTCCGGACCTAAAATTTTTTTTTTTTTTGAAGGTTATACCTTCAGAATGGGAGACTAGATCTTTCATCTTCCTAGACCTACAAAAAAAAAGAACATTAGTCAACATTTTGTTTAAATAAAAGAAAAAAATTTTTTGAAGTAAAATTTCGTGATCTACACAATATAAAACATCCGGTGTATAAAGTTCAATGATCATCCTGGTAGTGTTTACATCCAGAGTAACATCCAGGTACTACCCTGGATGCATCCGGGTAACTATCCAGGATTTTTGTACAATGTTATTTCTTTTTATAATTGGTGTACCCGCATATGTTTAAATACCGAATTTTACCCCTTTCCCTTTAATTTTTCGACGTTAAACAACAATTATGTCGGAGCGAACTAAATTGTTAACAAAATTTGGTAAATTCTTTAACATTATTTCTCATGGAAAAAAAGTTTTATGTGAAGAATGCAAACAAGGAAATACTGAGGATGATTGGTGTAAAGCATGTAATGCAAAACATTTTCAACAAAATTTTGAAAATTGGACTAGTGGTAATGATGATATTGACAAATTTATTCAAGATACTCAATTATCAGCAAATACTCATCATAAAGTATTAGAATGGATACCTTATGATAGATTTTATGATATTGAATATATTGCAAAGGGTGGATTTGGCAGAATATATAAAGCTAAATGGATTGATGGGTATATATTAAATTGGGATAATACGGTTCAAAATTGGAAACGACTCGAGCCTAATAAGTTTGTAGCATTGAAAAGCTTAGATAATTCAAAAAATACATCGGAAATTTTAAATGAGGTATAGATTAATTTATTTATTAAATTTGTAATGTGACATTTATTAATATATTATTATATGTATAGATTTCGTTGCATAAAAATATTTTTGAGCATGACCAATTTATTGTTAAGTTTTATGGAATAACTCAAGATCCAAAAACAAAAGATTATATAATGGTTTTGGATTATGCAGAAAAAGGAAATTTGCGAAATTATTTAAGCACAGATTATAATAAATTAGATTGGAATGCTATTTTGCGTATTTTATTGGATGTTGCATCTGGGCTTGATTTGATTCATGAGAAGGAATTAATTCATCGAGATTTACATGTTGGTAATATATTAATGTCTTCCGATTATGCTATGATAACTGATTTTGGATTATGTAAGCCCGCGGATAATGTATCAGAAAATAAAAAAAATCATATATATGGTGTTTTGCCTTATATTGCTCCTGAAATTTTAAGAGGACAGAATTATACCAAAGCTGCTGATATTTACAGTTTTGGTATAATTATGTATGAAGCAATTTCTGGATTACCTCCATATCATGATTTAAGCAATGATGAAAATTTGGCAATAAAAATTTGCCAAGGACTTAGACCAAGATTTAAAATTAAAGTACCACAATTAATTGTACATCTAGTTAAGAAATGCTTAGATGAAAATCCATCAAATCGACCAACATCAGAAGAAATTAAAAATATTTTATACATATGGTGTCATGATTTTAACAATCAAACAGAATTAAAAAAGCAAATTGAAGAAGCAGAAGAAATTAACTATAAATATTCAGCTGAGAGTATTTCTCCAATTAATTTAGGCTTATTATCTTATAAAAGTAATAAAACACGTTCAGAAGCTATTTATACAAGTAGATTAATTAATTTTAATAAACTTCCTGAACCAAAGAATTCTGACGATTATTATGAACATTACGATAACATAGTTAGCGAGAAAATTTCAGGTATTTATTAATAAAATTTTCCAATTAATTGTAAAAATACTAATATAATTTTAATCTCTTAAATAGATTCTCAATTGGGAATGGTAAGAGATAGACCAAAAACTTCTAATGATTATTATAAACAAAATAACATTATAATGAGCCAGAAATTTTCAGGTAATTACTAGTTTTATTAATGTTATTAAATAATTATAAAAAAAAGAAAAATTAACAAATATTATTTTCATTAAACTAATAACAGTTAAGTATGATCATAGTAAACCAAATAGTATTTTATTAAAGAGTAGTATTATTAAAAAAATTATCGATCATGAAACAGAAGAAGTAGTTCAAGTTCAAGTAACAGATAAAGTAGCAAAGATTCAAAGAAAATCAACAATCATAAAAAATAATCAACAAGATGAATCAGTAAAAACCTTATCTAACCAATTAAAAGATAATGATGATACTACTAATAAGCTTAAACAAAATGAAAAGAAAATTGAGGTATTACGAAATAAGTTAGATGAAGAAACCAAAAAATATCAAGATTCTCTAGAGAAAATTACTGCTCTCAATAACCAAATTAAAAATAGAGATGATGACATTAATAAACTGCTGCAACGAACTGTGAGTCTAGAGGGAAAATTGAATGAAGAAATCATGAAGTATGAAGCTTCTCAGGATAAATTTATTTCCCAATTTAAGGATAGAGATGTTTTTATTGATTTATTACAAAAAGAGTTGAATGAGAAAACCGGAAAGTGTCAAGTTTCCGAGGATAATCTTACTGCCCTTAAAAATCAATTGAAAAATAAAGAATTTATTGAGGAGTTACAAAGTAAGTTGGATGAAGAAATCAGAAAATGTCAAGATTATTCAAGCAATTTAAAAAATAAGGAGGAACTTAATGAGAAATTACAAAATAAGCTGAATGAAGAAACCAGAAAATGTCAAGATTGTCTGGACAAATTAAAAAATAAAGAGAAAATTATTGAGGAATTACAAAGCCAAATGGAAAATTTTAAAAAGGAGACGACAAGTGCTTTTCTTTCTCGAATTCAAACTCAACACATTGAGTTAAGTGAATTAGTTAATTATGTTGGTAAAAAACATGATTTTGATAATGAAGGGTGGCTTTTAATGGATAATATTTTGGAAAAACAAAGAAATGCTATTCTAACTAATGATAATTTTGCTTCCGAAGAACTAGAAATAATTAGACAGAAATTAATTGATTATGGATTAACAGAAGAAGAAATTCGAGATATTCTACATAAGCAAGCAGAGAAAACTAAATTAGACATGCAATTAAAGTCAATAATTCAAGGGGAATCATCATCATTAAATATAAAAAATGATCAATCGAATGAACGTGCAAAAAACTTATTATCAAAGCAGCAAATAATTCAAAAATTTAAGTTAAATCATGGATTATTTTTGGATGGATATAGTATAAAAGCTAGTAAAAAATCTGTATATATTGAAGATGGTAAATTAAATATAAGTTTATGCAAAGAACAACCTTTTCTATATACTTTTATAAACGATCGAGACTCTCAAATAAATTTATTGAGTTTTAATTCTAAAAATAATGATGTTAATAACATTAAAATTAACAAATCATTACAATTATTAGATATGTGTATTAATTTTCCTGTTGCAGAAATTACTTATACTGCTGATTTATCTGAATCTTTTGAAAGCTTTATGGATGATAATGAAGTAAAATTATATGAAATGTATGGACATCTATTTCCAAGAAAAATTTTAATCGGTGGTAAATTATTTATTGATGATCTTAAATCAGCAACTTCAACACAAATTGACATGTTTAAATCTTTCTTAACTTGGGTATATGATTCAGCAAAATATAAAAAAACAATTCCATTTAATAATTTTACTGCTTTGAAATTTTTCCCGAAAATAACAACATCAGATGGGGAAAATTTAAATACTTATGATAAGTTAACCAATTGGATGAATAATTTATATCAAAAGAATTCTGATATCATAATTTCTTATAATAACCTTGTTCCCATTTCTGAATTAAGATTCGGAAAATCATCATCATCAGTAAATGAAATGCAACCCGGAGTTACTAATTTTAAGGAGAAAATAAGTTTAAGAGAGTGGGTTAAAGATTCAATATATATTAACTTGACAAGATGGATTAAGGAATTTTGTCTTTTCCAAGGTCAGATAATTAATAAGCATCTTGAATTAGAAAATAGCAAGAAAACCGCTGTTAATTTTATTAACGTTCCAAATGTGAATTCAAGTGATAAATTATATTTGGAAATGATAAAGCCAATAACCACCTTAGAAGATTTTTTTAAATCCAATAATGTTAATAAGTTTCTAAACAAAGATATGACTTTATTACCATTTATAAAAAATTCTATTCATTCAGTTAATTTAAGTTATGAAGATTACACACATTTTATGATAAAATGTGAACGATATAGGATTTTATTGAGTAAGGCGGACATTAAACCTTCAGAAGAATTTGAACAAGCTATAGAAAATGCACTTGAAAATATGAAGCCATTTACATTTTTACAAGATGTCTTTGATAATTATGGATATTTTTATCCATTAAATATCGTTTTGGGGAAATCTCTTAAAAATATTTTACCAAATTCTTCTTTACCCTTTACTTTCAAAAAGATGGAATCATCATTTGAATCTTTGGCGCCGTTTTTTGATAATTTTAATGTTTCATATTTTTTAACAAAAAAAGGAAGTATTATTGAGAAAGATGATTTACCTAAATGGATTCAAAGTATAAATAATGATTTGGAAATTATTGAATTTGATAACATAATTTCATTATATGATATCCTTAAAGAAGAACAACAAAGGAGTATAAATATTATATTGAATACACAAAATAATAACAAAATCATAATGACAGGAATTGTTGATTTAGAGGATTTAAATATTGATAATACTGAGCACTATAAACGAATAAATATTAACCCATCATTCGAAAATGGAAAATATGAAGTTTTTGGGTCAATTATTTCAAATAATAAAAAAGAGAATTTAAAATCGGAATTTTTTATTAGATTTGGGTTATATGATCCTAATGGATTCTCTGCAATGATTAAAACTCTAAATAAAAATAGTGAGATCAATATAACAGAATGTTATATTTTATGGATGATTACTGGAATACCTTCAGAGTTATTGGTATTTAGTCCAAGGAACCGAGAACTACCAGTTAACCGTATTAAAGAACCTATTACATTAAGAAACGATGATTCTGATTCTAATTACTCAATCGAAATTTCTCATCAATTATCTCAAGGAGATATCGTTTCTATTAATATTCATTGTTCAACAACAAATTATGAACCTATTAATGTTAAGCTAATTGGATGGTCAAAAAATCGTATTAATTTTCAAATACTTAAACCAATTTATAATAATTCAAATTTAAATAATTCAACGTCGAGTATAGCAAGCTCCGATGATGGTGAAGATAGTACTGATTCTTTATCAATTAATGAGGAAGCAATAATCATAGATATATGTGTGTGTATTTTATCTTCAGAATATAAAAGTTTAAAGATTGATAATAAAGAAAAAGGATGTCATTCTTGTAATTTGAACTTAATCGGATATACGCTCACAGAAGAAAATTTTAACGAAAAATTATCAATTGCAATGATGAAATAATGAATATAGTAAGTTAATACAATTATTATTTTAAGTAACATAATCATTTTCTTTCAGCTTCCTAGAATTTTAATTATTTTGTTACATTAATAGGTATAATGTGATCTTGCTGAACTTATGAATTGTGTACACGTTTTTATGTAGATAAATGAATTTAATTTTCAGATTTCAAGATTTTGTTCATTCTTTTTACACCCGGTGCGCTATACACGGTATTATTAGAGTCGGTGATGAATGAGTCAGATTAGGTTCAAGGCGTTAAGGTTTTAGCGTGGTCACTTCCATTCTCCATTTTACCTTATTTTTAAATCCTCTCTTACTGTATATTTAAATGTGTATTTATTTACCATAATAATCAATAAAAAATTTTCAATTTATAATTCTATTGAACTGATTACAATATCGTAAAATACGGTATTACGTTATTGCAATATTGCGTAGTCTTCCGAGTGTAACTTCTGTAGGGTGATTGAAATATAGCAAATATATTTTTTTTCGTTTTATAATATTTTTTTTAAAAATTTTTTAAATCTTAATACTCAATTACTTTTTCCAATTAATTTTGTTATTTAAAAATGCTTTTTTTGACGCAATTCTTTTTAAAAACTTTCTTATATTAATAATATTTTCTTTTTCTTGCATAAAATTTTAGCATCTAATCAAATAAACTCTCATAATATCACTTATCTGTTATTAATTAATTCCTTTAATTTACACAATAGAGAAATACTGAAATATAAACATAATTTTCATAGACGAGAAGCGTAATTAGATTATATAGTACATAAAATAATTTCCAAGGATATCGACTTTTACAATCACAGGTAGGGATGGCAACGGTCACGGTTATTAACCGGTCATGACCGGTTATGACCGTGACCGATATCGGTCGGTCAAAGGCTTCTGACCGACCGTTTAACCGACCGGTTTGACCGACCGTTTGACCGACCGTTTAACCGACCGTTTAACCGATTATTTGGCCTTTTTTTAATTATTTAGCCTTTTTTTACGAACTTAATCAATAAAAAAAGCTAAATAGCGTTTTTTTTTTTATTAAATTACACTTTCTTCTTTTTAACGAATTTTAATCAAGAAAAAAACGTTAAAAAGTGATCGGTTAAACGGTCAGAAAAACGGTCAGCCAAAACGGTCGGTCGGTCAAAGGCCCTTAACCGGTTATGACCGACCGATAACCAACCGTGACCGACCGTTGCCATCCCTAATCACAGGTAAAAAAAAAGTAGCACGTATTAACAGAATTTCTCTGGCATCTCGTGATATGCAATCAGGTGAGATAAACTAAATACTGTAGTTGAAATTTTCCATAACATTAGTTAATATTTAATAAATTGGTTTAATGAAGTCCAGTGTCCCAATGGAACGAACTTTTCCTGATGAAACTGTTTAATAGCAGCTAAGAGTAAAGCAATCATAATTAGTGCATACAAAAATCTTGAGTGGGCATATTGCAAAGTAAAGAAATTTTCAAAAAAAAAGATTATTTCTAACATATCGAAATGAAAAAAAACTGGCCAATCATATTTCAGTACTTAAAAACTCGAGTTGCATCCGAGGACCGACTCGGGTCTATTTCAATATGTTTACTGTCTAAATATTTTTGTGTACATATCATAATATTCTCTTTTATACGTAATTACAATATTCCGGATTCAATCTTATCAGATTTTGATTCAGTAAAAGCTTATCTGACCATTCTTTATAAAATTCAAATGTTATGATTTCATTTTTTTTCTTTCAGTCCTAATTTCATAAATAAAAATTTCTAGAAGAATAATAGTTTATTTATGTGTTATTATTGTCTAATAAATAAAAAAATACATTTGTTTTTGAATAATAGTATGTTATTTTAATTATCAATTGAATATAATAATATAATTCTTAATGAAAATCGCATCTTCGTAAAATAATAGCAATACGACGAATACAGTATAATTCAGGAAGTACGTGTTGCATATTTGGTGTCTGGCTGTCTAGCATCCTAAAAAAATAAATAAATAAATTATTATTATTATATATTTTTATTTTCTATGAAAATAAAAATTTTAATAAAGCAAATAAAGCAAATAAAATTCTAGTTTACATTGAAAAATATTATTTATCGTAATTTTTTTTTTTTTAATCAACCTGATTCGTAAACTGTATTAATATTATTTTATGATACAGCATTCTAATAGTATGTATGATATTCACATAAGATGGCTGAAGTATCAAATACTTCTAAGAACAACATTTAAAAGAAGAACTAATTATATTAATATGAATCATAATTATAAGCGAATATGAAATCGGATGTTGACATACTTGACATAGTACTTACTCTTATGGTAAATTAAGACCTTTTTATCTAGTTTATTTATTTTTTTTTTATTAAAAGAGCTTTGGATATTTGAATACGGTGAGAAAAATTAATAGTTTACTACTACTTATCGGAAAATATTCTTTTTATTATTTGATAAGGATATAATTCAAACAAATGATCTTATTTTTTTGTGATTATCTACGAAGGAAAAGTATATAATAACACATGTGCATCTTGTGCGTAAGTCGATTATTACGAATTACCTTAACCACTCACTACAAATGAGATGGAAAAAAAAAGAATGCGAATCAGATCAGAATTCGTAAAGGAACTTGGCTAATCCATTAATAATAAAATTTTGACTTTCATTATTTTAGTCTTTAGACCATAAAATCATGAATAGTTTAAAACAATACTATCGAAAATCATATGTTACAAATAGAGAATATATAATAAACCTGTTTATTGTTTAAATTTCTTTCTGAATTATGAGAAGGTGTATAACTTTATTTATTTAGCAATAAAAAGTGGTGTCTAGAATTGTTTGAAGAGTCTAGTTAGTTAATAGAGGAATTTCTATACAAGGGGGACTTTACTGACGTATGGATTATATTGTATTCGTTTTAATTCTGTATTATCGAACTTTTCAAAATTGTGCTACCCCCTATAGATCATTTAATAAAAAAATTATTAGATTACAGGACGATTACCAGACAAAAATCGGACAATGTTGTCTGTAATCGTCCTGTAATCGTCCTGCAATCATAATCACTCAATCATCACAACGTACACAGAATTCTGAAAACTGCGATAATCATAGTTTGACCGTCCGATTAATAGAATATTAAAATTTTAAGAAATTCAACTTGTAACGACGTCTTAGAAATTTTTTCTGAATAATGGATTATAGGAATTTGTTTTCCATAAAGAATTTGATAAGTAAATAAATCCATTCTTTAATTCCGTCGTATCAATAACAGTTGCAAAAAAATAAAATTTTTTGAACAATAATATCTGAAATATTTTTTTTTTTTTTTTGAGTAATTTATAATTTGATCCAGATTTTATAATAAGAAATATTTTCAGAATCTCCAACTGATATTTTTAATTTTCCTAAACTTTCTACTAATAAAATAAGATTTTTTTTATAATTCGATCATTATTTGACTTAAGTTCAAACAACTTTTATCAACATTCCTCAGCACAATTTCAGTCAATTCGCAATTTTTAATTACTATCTTCTTTCTTGATTTCATTAAAAGTCATGGTACATCCATGATCTAATTACGTGATTTATTAATGAACTCCGTAGTACGACTTTATTAAGTGATTTTGTAAACCTACAAAAATGATTGATCATCTATCCTACTGGCAGATGTATACATTAATATAAATTTAAAATTTAAAATGAAATAAAAAAAGAAAATAAGAAAATAAACCTAAAAAATACCTCCAACGTGTATAAAATTCTATATATCAACTAATTCACATACACGAAAGGGTCGAAAGGTATCGCGATCAACCATTTCCAATCAGGCTGAACATTGTTTAAAATATATTATTTTCATCAATAATTTCATTTAAAGTTAATTTTCCTCTTTTTCAAGTACTATTTCGCAAACCCATTATAGCCAATATTATCGTTAATGATATTTTTTTTTTTTTTGAAAACAATAGGGGTTTCAACAGTAAATTTTAATTTACCTTGACGAATTATCATATTGATTCATAAATTATCTGTGATTTAAACAAACTACGAGGCATTATAATTTTAGTTATATCTGATAATAACGTTATAATCTAATCTGTAGGGTTAGACATTATGTGGGTTAGAGTTTTTTTTTTAAAAAAAAAGTTCGAGCTAGTATTGCCCCCAAAATTGAGCGTCCAGAACTGATGAAATGATCCTCAAACCATCATCGGTTTGGCTTATACTACAGTGAGTTTGAGCCAGCCAATCAACGATTTCAGGTCAGATGATTTGTCACACAATTACGTTTAATCGATATAAGAGTTATTTCTAATTTTTATAAATTAAATAATTTTCACAATGACGAGTAATTTCAATAATGATACGGATAATAATTGGATTCAATGGATTAAAGATGGAATTGCTAATGAATATATCAATTATCATGATTACAATGAGATAGGAATATATTGGTGTTGGAGGATTTATCGAGCTAACTAGAAATGTTTAAATACCGTCGTTGCATTAAAAATCTTTGATGATATTATGAAGAAGTCGTTAATGAGGTATTTATTGTTATCCTACAGAACGCTGTTTTATTACATTTTAATTATTACCATTACCTAAGTTTGCTAAATGTATATTTATTTTTTTTGTAGATAAAATTAATGCATTGAATTAATTTTCACGAAAATATTATTCAATTTTTTTTTGGTATTACGAGTAATCTAAGTAAGCACAATTTGTATTATATAATTTTAAATCAGTTGACAAAGTTAATTAATTATTTTTTTTAAAAAAAAAATGATGTAGGTTTAAATTACTCGTTTATTCTTGAATATGCAGATAGTGGTGCATTGAAAAATTATTTAAAAAATAATTTCAATAATAAATTAGATTTTAATATTAAGCTATAATTTGCAATTCAAATTGCTGATGCTGTCTCATGTCAAAAAGATATTATTCATAATGATCTCGTAAAGTATTTTATTTATTTTGATTTTTTTTTTTTTAATTAGTAATCTCAGTATATTAACTTTTAATTAATATTTTTAGCATTCTAATAATATATTAGTCCATCAAAATAATGTCATGTTAATAGTCTTTGGTCTTTCATGTGGAGTTGGAGTATCAAGTTCTGCCAAGAACGTGTTTTGGAATTGTATCTTATATTGATTCGCGACGCTATAAGAGCAATTAACGACAATAATAATATAGACAATAAGAAATCAGATGTGTATAGTGTTGGTGTACTCCTATGGGAAATGTCATCTGGACGAAACCATTTGGTACGATAATATTCATGATGAAGTAGCATTAACATTACTACTAATTTTAAATGGAAACAATTTTGATACACCAGTTGATTACATTATTAATATACAAGTATGAAACATTTTATTATTTTGTAATTTGTTTGTTTTGTTTTATTTAAATATTAATTTTAAAAAAATTTAAAAGATAATCAAAGAAGCGACAAGTATTTTGAATTAAAGCTAATTAATTTAAATACCTCAGAATTGATATAAAAATGTCAGGGAGAAGCTTGTGATAAAGCGCATTGGGACGAAACGAAAAATGTGTAGCGTTGAAATTATTTAATTTAAAAGATGATGCTATTGTTAAAGAAATTCTACACGAGGTAAGTAACTAAGAGTATTTTTATTTTATTCGAAACTAAGAATAATTTTACATATCATTCATTATAGACAAAATTACATCGGGAAATTGACTATAGTAATGTGATGATAAATTTTTTCGGGATAATTAAGATAATTCAGGTAAATTATTTTTTAAAAAAAGTTTGGAAATATTTACAGTACACATAATTGTTTTAAATTTAATAAATATTTGCGAATTTTTTATTTTTTTTTTCTAGACAAAGAATATTATTTGTAACAAAGGATACGCTTCGTAACTATCTAAAGGAGAATTCCCTTCGTTAAATTGGCTGGATAAATACGGATTAGCCCTTCAATTATCAAATATTTGTACGAAAGAGAAATGATTTACATCAAACAGTATACCTATACAACAGAATTCCTTAATATTATCAGTATCTGGGTTAAAGTGTAAACATATTGTCGAACTTTTTTAAATTCGATACAATTCTTAACTCGTGGTTCAGTATAATAAAAAGTCGCTGGATGATGCACTTGAAGGAGGAAGGCAAATAGAAAAATTTGATTGAATGAGAAAAGCGATACTTATAGCTTTAGAGCGCTATTTGGCATCGCGAGTTAAAAATATTCGTAAGTGATGAATTTAAGTGATGAATTTAATGTATTGTATTTTAATGTATTGTATTAATAGAATAATTTAAATTTAAGATGTATAAAAATAAATTTTATTATTTTTTTTTTTTTAAAAAAAAAAAATTGCTTTAAAACAAAAAAAAATAAAAATATAATAATAAAATTTCATTTATTTAAAACTAGATAATTTTTAATTTGATTACCAAATTTCGAAATGGTTGGATTTAAAGAACTTTTAGCATAGATATAAAACCTCTTTACATCACGTCAACGACCTATTGCGGCTCTTTCAGTTAATTCCACACAGTTAATCTTAGAACATCAGCTTCTTTTTGTTGGATTGACCGTACAAATTCTATTATTGATTCGCGACCTTCATGTATTTCATTACTCACAATCCATGAAACATTTCTATATATCAATAGTTAATAATTTAACGCAAAAGATACGTCTGCACGGTAGTAAATATCATCGATCTTGCAACAGAAGTGATGGATAAACATGGTGCACTTTTACCTTTTTCAATTTGACCCATTTCAATTTGACCCATTATAGCACAAGCCTCCTTAACAAGCAAATATAGGGGAACTTATGAATTTTCTCAATAATATCGTTACCCATATCATAAGTGGGTAGTTTCTTCGTACAAAACACAGGTAGAACGCTGAACAATTGCCGATTGATGAATTTAATCAGCGTTGTTCAACAGATGGAAATTAACATACACTTCAGTCGGATATCAATAAGTTTATAACTTGAGAGAATAAACGATCAATTTGGCTGAATCATATGCCACAGTTGAGAAGATTTAAACATATCGGTTTAAATCATCAATAAATGTCTATCGCCTCGCTAATTAAAACTCTTCTTCGAATAAACGACCATATGTTTCACATAATGTTCCTCCATCAGTTCGAAAATGATTTTGATAAATCAGCGGTATAAGTAATTTCAGCAACAGGAAAATTGATGCATATATCCGATGGTTCTAAAGCTTCGTTGAATTCAATCCCATTATTATTAGAATTAAAACTTAATAAATTTTTTGTGAGATCCCACATAATTTAAAATTATACATTATGAGATGTTATTTGTATAAACTTGTATTCAATATATCATCTCCAAGAAGTACGTTCGCTTACTGGTTATATCATTCCCGTGATTCAGTTTAAGATTTTGAATTATTTGTCGTGATACCATTGGAGATAAAGTATTAACAATCTCTTGAGTTGTTGGCTTCTTGTCCGGATCATAATCCAACACTCTAAATAAATATGCAAAAAATATTATTTTTATTTATTGCGTCTGTTGATACTTTTTGTAGGTAGTACATCTATATAAATTGGTATCACCATTACCAATGAATCAAAAAACGTAGTCATTACTTACTTGAATAAAGATTAGAATATCCATCAGGTGTTCCCTCTACTATTACTTCTCTTAACCTTGCGCCAAAAATAAATCATATTTTGGTAAATGCCTAGCGGATCAAAACCTTTTGCCGAAAGAATAACACTCTAATACTATATACATCGCTTTCTTTAACCTTTCCAATCGCTTATCCTTTCCATGAATTTGTTCCTTCTAAATTTTTACCTATAATATCAAACATTTCTACACCGATAAGAAAAAATTCATTTAACGGAATTCGATCAGTTTTCCTAATACGTCTACTTAACTCAGAATCCGCCAGCTTGATTGAATTTTGACGAGCAAGTACATTATTTGAATGAAAACTTTTATGTACTATTCCATGGAATATTTTGCACCTTATCATTGAAGAGTTAATTCGTATTTTATCTTTCCAATTTAATGAAAGAAATTCGCTTCCAAATAATTACGAAGTGTGCCTCCTTCTGCATATTCATTTACAATAAATACTCTTTATCTAAAGATTTTAAAAATCATATTTTAATAAAATTAAAAAAAGTATAAAAAAAATAAATAAAATAAAAAACAACATTGTCTGTCTGCAGAACGCGCTAGAAACATACCAAGTATGTTATAAGATTGACTATTATAATGCACGATCCTGAACTAAGCCAGTGTTCCGTAATAACTTCAAACATAAAAAAAAAATATCTACCTGAAGCGATTCAGTTATTTCATAAAATGTTATCATCATATCGTTAAAGTTAATTTCATGACAATTTTTCTTAGTACAGGCAAACTTGAATTCAAATCTCTTTCTTTAATGACTTCAACACTAAGCATTTTCCAATATGCTCTATACACTTTAACAACTAATCCACCGACTATCTCTTCTTTAACATTGACCAAAAAAAAGTTCTTTGGATAGACTATTCGACCTGAACCGATTCAATCCATCGTCGGCTTGACTTGTACTACACGCATAAATCAGTATAAGAATTTAAATTCTATTTTTATAAATTAAAAAATTTTAGAGTAATTCCAATAATAAAAGTGATACAGATAATAAATGGATTCAATGGATTAAAGATGGAATTGCTAATGAATATATCAATTATCATGATTACAATGAGTTTCAAGATATGGAATGTATTGGTGTTGGAGGATTTGGTAATTTTATCGAGCTAACTGGAAGAGTTTAAATACCGTTGTTTCATTAAAATCTTTGATAATTAATGAGGTATTTAAGGTTATACTATAGAATGATGTATTATTGTATTATTATATTATATTTCCTAACAGTACCGTTTGCTAAAATGGTGTATGTTTATTTTTTTGTAGATAGAAATAATGCATAGAATCAATTTTCACGACATATTATTCGATTTTTTGGTATTACAAGTAATCCAAGTAAGCACGATTATATTGTATAACTTTAAATAATTTTAATTATTCACTCTCTTTTTTTTAGATGATGAAGGTTTAAAATTACTCGTTTATTCTTGAATACGCAGATAGTGGTACGTTGAAGGATTATTTAAAAAATAATTTCAATAAATTAGGTTGGAATGTTAAGTTGCAATTTGCAATTCAAATTGCTGATGTTGTCGCATGTATGCATCAAAAAAATATTGTTCATTGTGATCTAGTAAAGTATTTTATTATTTTAATATTTTAATTGGTATCTATTAATCTCAATATATTAACTCTTAATTAATTCTTTTAGAATACTAATAATATATTGGCTCATCAAAATAAGATTAAATTGATAAACTTTGGACTTTCACGTAGAGATGGAAGATCAAGTTCAGTCAAAGACGTCTTTGGAATTATACCTTATATTGACCCATAACGTTTCAAAAAGCAAACAAACGAAAATAATCATTATATAGGAAATAAGAAATCAGATGTATATAGCGTTGGTATACTCTTATGGGAAATATCAACTGGACGACAGCCATTTGAATCTTACAATAATATTCATGATGAAACAGCATTAATATTACTAATTTTGAATGGAAAAAGAGAAACTTCAAATTTTGACACGCTACTGTAATTGATTACCTAAATAAGTATGAATTATTTCTACTATTTTATGGTTTGTTTATCTTGTTTTGTTTAAATATTAATTTTTAAAATCTAACCAAAAATGCGGCAGTATTTTCTGAATTGAAACGAGTTAAATCGTAATACTTCAGTATTGATGGAAAAATTTATAATGGAGAAGCATGTAGAATACTACGAATATAATAATTTAATAATAACTTGAAGATAGCAGTAGATTAGTTGCACATTACAAACGTAACATGAATAAATTATTTAATTTAAGAATGATGTTATTGCTAAAGGAATTTTCCACTTGGTAACTAGAGCGATCAAAGTTTAATTCGTATTACGGAAGATTTTTAACGTATCATTTATTATAGATAAAATTACATTGAGAAGTTGACCTTTAATAATATGATGGTAAAATTGTTTGGGGCAACAGATTCAGGTAAATTATTATTAAAAAAAAGTTTGGAAATGTTATGGGATACGCAATTGTAAATTTTTAATTTAAAAATTAAAAAATATTTTTTATTATTTTTCTTCCTAGATAAAAATATTTATTGGTAACAGAATATGCAGAAGAGGGCACCTTCGTAATGAAAATTTTCCTTTGTTACAGTAAATTGGCAGGATAAATACGGATTAGACCTTCAGTAATCGAATGAAATAAAATATTCGTATGAGAAAAAGATTTACATCAAACAGTATAAAATTCCGTTAGATTATCAGATTCTGGATCAAGTTAAAGATGTTAGTGGTTAGTCGAACTTTTTTTAATTCATTCGAATACTGGTCCACGAGTTACCAATATTAGAGAAAAGTCGCTCCGCTGGACGCACTTGAAGGAGGAAAGCAAATAGAAATTTTAATTTGAATGAGAAAAGTGGTATTTATAGCTTTGGAGTGCTATTTTGGGATTACCAATCGTAATTAGTAATTAGTCATGAGTAAACCGTATCGCGAGTGATGCATAAGAATATTATTTGAATGCAAATCTTTATGTACTAAGTCATTTTCATGTAACAACTTTATTGCACTTGACAATTGAAGGGCTAATTCGTATTTATTCCCCCAGTCTAACAAGTTAAAATTCTCTTTCAAATAATTACGAAGTCTGCATATTCCTTTACCAAAAAATATTCTTTATTTAAATATTTCAAAAATTAGTTTCAATATTCATAAAATAATAATAAAAAAAAAATTAACAGGCATATTGTATTTTTGATTATATAATGAGACATAATCATCGTGTAGTGTAGTAATTTCAAGAAAAACATATATATATTTACCTAAATCGGTTTTTAGATATTCCATAAAATTTTATCATCATATCGTCAAAGATAACTTTTTCATATAATTTTATTTTAAAACAGATCAATTTTCTTAGTATAGAAAACTTTGATTCACATCTACCTCTTCAGACACGTACCTCGTAGATAATTTCTTTAACATTGTTTAAATTAAATGACGTTAATACTAAACATTTTTCCATTTTGTTTCCAATTTGCTTTATACACTTTACCAACTAATCCACCACCTATCTCCTCTATATTATTAAATTCATCATATTTATAATATTTTAAATCGTGTTTCTTAATATATTGTTCTAGCGTATAAGTAGACATATTGAGTAGAATATGGGGGAAATTTTTTTTTTTTTTAAATTATTGTATCACGGGGTTCCTTAATGTATAACGTACGAACTGGCCGGAATTAACGTTAACGCTATCACATGCACCCTCCTAAACTCGGGCCAATTCGTATGTTAATATCGGACGCCCATTGTATATATCACATCGAAAATTGTCCGAAGTTCTCTAAAATGAAATCGAGCGAATATAATTCTGGTCAAAATTTAACATAATTCTGGTCGTAGTGCATATTTTCTGAGGTTCTTTATTTATGGTAAGATCATTGCTTTGTGCTCTGTGTTCGCTTTTAATACGTAATACATGTAATACATAAAAGCTGTTAACGGACAAAATTTTTTTTTTTTTTATAAAAAAATTTGTCAGTCATGTCTATAAACCTTAGAGATTTATTTTCTAAAAATGATAAGAATATAACATTAAAAATTATAAACTCACAAAAATCTGCATGTAAAGTTCATTTGAATCTTTGTGATAATCTATTAAAAGTTCGTCAATACCTCGAAAATCATGATATTATCGACGATACATTTTCGTTTGTAAGGAATTATTCTGAAAATAATGATAGTATGATTGAATTTTCCGAGATACCTGTTAAATTTGAAGAAAATTTTCGCTTACATCAAATTGTGCGTAAAACTGAAGATGCTCATATTTTATATATTACATGTTCAAAAATTTGGAAGTTTATAAACGATTTACGTAAATTAGATTATGGGTGTACCATGACTTCCAACGGAATTAAGAAAGCTAGTAAAAGAGCATTTGAAGCGAAAAATTGTAAATTGGAAATTGATAGTGGAACATGCGAAGAGGGAAAATTTAAATCTGAGTCAAGTGAGGATTTGATGATGGATAAAAATTTATTTTTTGATGCTGATATTAATGTGGAGCATTTTGTAAAGTTGGGAATAGGAATGTCAATAGGAGCATCAAAAAATAAAGAATCTCATGTTGAAACCAATTACTCTTATCGTTTTACGAAGTATGGCAAAGCGTCATTGAAACTTGAGCATTTAGAAGCAACTCCGGAATTTATTAAAGTAGTAGAAAATGCCATAGAATCTGAAGATCCTGAAGAATTTAAGCAAATTATTGAAGATTACGGTCAATTTATACCAACTGAAGTTATTTTAGGTGGAAGAGTTCATTATGATGATTTTGCAGAGTCGGTTAAACACACTGCAGGAAATTCTAATAAAATTATCGGAAAGATGAATATACAAATCCTGAAAGCAAAAATAGGAAAAGCTTCTACTACTTCACAAGGAAGGTCAAACAGTTGTAGCTACAAATATACCAAAGTAATTGGAGGGAAACAACCCGAGAATATTGGAAATCTAAATAGAGGGGATTGGGTTAGTTCTTTAGATAATTATGAATATTGGGATTGCATAGAGTTTCGCAATCCGATTAGTATTTTTCAGTTTTTACCTGAAGATTTACATGAACGAATCATTAAGTCTTTTGGAGTGAAGATTCATTATTTAACTACTGAAAATCATAATTGTGTTTTTGAAGAATTTAGAAAGCCAATACAATTGAGTTTGAACTTACCAAATAAAATCGCAAAAATTATTAAAAACAAAGATATAGATTCTAAAATTTTTGCAACCGTTACGGATATATCGAAATCAAAGAATGACTTTTTTACTTGTCAAGTCCTTTGTCCATCAGATGGAAAACTACCGAGTCTTATAATTCATCGTGTACAAAACTCGTTTGAAATCTTTAAAAGGCGTGAATGCAAATTAAAAATTGGGTGGATGATAATCGGATACTATAGAGATTTCAATTTTGATTATAATACTCGACTAGACATCCTGCATTATGATTATGATTCTAATGCACCAGATACAGATAATCTAATCGAATATGATTCAAAAGTCCCAATTTGTTTAGGAATTCCTGTGGTACGTGAATATCCTAATAACGAATCTCTTGTTATCGGATATTATTACAGACAACATGAGAATAATAAAATTAAGGCATGTACTTTCGCTTATTGTTTAAAAGATAAGTGCCTTGTAAAATTGCCTAATTTTACATTTTACATACTTAAAATTACAAAATATCATAACCATGGTGCTTGTGATATAATTACGCTTAGAGAAAAAGAATATAGTAATTTTAATACTGAATCTCCAAAATTTGTTAGCATATATTCTGCAGAACAAACTGATTGTGTTTTTTTGAAACAAAGAAATGGGCAAGTTAAAATTAAAAAAATTGGTAACGACAATACAGCAATATTATCGGTTAAGTGTGCAATCTTTGATCCATATACCAGGTACTGTATTTGTTATTATTATTTTTGTTTTAATTAAATTAATATTAAGTATATATATATGTATATTTTTTCAAAAAAAGGAAGGATTCGATTCAGGAGGATTCGATTCAAGAACAAAGTAAGTTAGATAAAAGAACCATAAAATATGATTCTCTAGATAAAATTGCTGCCTTCGATAACCACCAGTTGGAAGATAAAGATGATATTATTAATAAACTCCAGCAACAAACTGATAAACTAGAGAGAAAATTGAATGAAGAAACCAGAAAGTATCAAGTTTCCCAAGACAAGTTAGACGTGGAAAAAAGTAGTATGTTAAGCGAGGAAAAAAAAGAGTTAAACGAAGAAAAAAGTGAGTTAGACGAAGAAACAATAGAACATCAAGATTTTAAAGAAAAATTTACCGCTCTCAATGATCAATTAATAACTAAAGAGCTAGAGAGACAATTGAATGAAGAAACCGGAAAGTATCAAGTTTTTCGGGAAAAATATACATCCTTTAATAACAAACTAAAAGATAAAAAAGTAGCAGAAAATGAAGATAATTTTGCTCATGAAATCGAAAAAAATGAAAATGAAATTGAGACATTTAAACGGTATGAAAAATCAGCCAAACAAGATGATAGTGATGCGCAAAATTATTTAGGATATTTTTATGAAAATGATTTAGGAGTACAAAAAGATTTAGAAAAAGCTTTTTATTGGTATCAAAGATCAGCAGAAAATGGAAATAAACTTGCACATTATAATCTAATTTCATATTATTTAAATGGATGGAAAATTGATGAAGGATTAGTTAAACAAGAAAATGATAAAATGCAATATATATTAGGGTATTTTTATGAAATACAGAAAGATTCAGAAAAATCATTTTATTGGTATCTAAAGTCAGCAGAAAATGGTAATAAGTTTGCGCAATATAATTTAGGTTTGTATTATCAAAATGGATGGGGAATTGAAAAAGATGAAATTAAGGCATTTAAATGGTATAAAAAATCAGCTAAACAAGATAATAGTGATGCACAAAATTATTTAGGATTTCTTTATAAAAATGGTATAAATATACAAAAAGATTTAAAAAAATCTTTTTTTTGGTATCAAAAATCGGCAATAAATGGTAATAAGATTGCACAATATAATTTAGGTAATTTTTATCAATATGGATGGGGAATTAAAAAAGATGAAATTGAAGCACAGAAATGGTATAAAAAATTAGCTGGACAACATAACAAATTTTTTGTAAAAAATGAGGAATTATTACAAAATATAAATAATATAAATGCGGAAAATAAAGAAACTATAATTAATGATATTACTAATGATAATCCTTTTAATTATATTCAGTTTAATGAACCTATCATCAATACAAACTGTGAAATTGATTCAATATTTATTACAGTAAAAGCAACCATTTCTCCCGGAATTTCTGATACTTCATATATTGAAGTAGAAAAGTTGCAAAAATTACTTATTAATCGAAAAGATGATATTGATCATATATTAGGATTGCAACCCGTGTATACCATAGGAATTGACTTTCAAAAAAATTCTACCAGACCATGCATTACCTGTTGGGTTGCTAAACCACTTGATATTACAGTTTTGGAGTGTCTTGAAACTATATTTGAAAATCAATTTAAAGTTATATACAAAATAGTAATACCTTTAAATGAAAATAATAATCAAAATTTAAATAGCAGTAATTGTTTTGCTAAAAACTTTGTCGATAATAATTTGACAAATGATTTTTATAAAGAAAACTTAGAAAATAATGACTATGATAATAGTAGTGGTAGCGATAGAAATAATGATCATAATGATAACAACATCAATAATAGTAACAATAATAATAGCACCAATAGTAGTAATGGTAATAGTGGTAACGGTAGTAATAATAATAGTAACAATAATAATAGCAGTAATAATAATAATGGTAGTAGTAGTAATGGAAGTAATAGAGATAACAGTAATAATAGAGATAATAGCAATAATAATGGTGGTGGTGGCGATGATGGTGGTGATGGTGGTGATGGTGATGGTAACGATAGTAGTAAGAGTATCTACATTTCATCTAAAGTAAATGCAGTTGTTGATTCAAAGTCGCAAGATTTTAAAATTATTGCTAAACTTTGGGCGAAAACTAATCCTTTTGAAGATACTCTAAAATATAATATTGATGTAATTGCTTGTGGAATCGGCGATTTGGTTAGTAATAAATGTCCATTGCTTAATAAAGTAGGGTTTGGTTATTTGCTTCAGTCTGTTAAAGTTCAAATTTCTCCATTACCTAATAATGGAAGTGATTTATTTGACTTAAAAGAAGTCTCACAACCAACACAATTGAATCAAGGTGTTGAATTTTCAGTAGGTAGTGAGATGAGTATTAATGGAAAAATTGGAATGTCAAAAACGCCAGGTGTTGAAATTACAGGTGGATATAAGAAGAATAATAATACTAAATATTTATCACAAGAATGGGAATTTAACTATAAAGGTCCTAATGATGAAGGAGAGTATTGGTTATATGAACGTAACAAATATCTTGATAAAAATGATAATACTTATACTCCTAGAGTACATTTTGGCGAGTGGTTTTTTAATGATGGGATGCATGGATTTTGTATTACTATTACTCAAGTATTACGTTATGAGATTACTCATTGGTGGCATAAAATCCCTCCAAATATGAAAACTTCGTTGCAGCGGTTTCCTATGGTAGCTCACAATCTTAAAGTAACTTTTAATGGCCTTAATGATTTTAATGATAAATTCAAAGAGTTAAAAATGAGGTATAATACTAATATTAATATCACCAAGACTGTTGGCAGCAATGTAAGGGAAAATGATTTTGAAACACAAGATATTCTGACTTTGAATTATGGGAAGATTGGGGAGATTAAACGTTCATTGGTTTAAAACAATCAATTATTGGAAGTGTAAAAAGAAATTATTATATTTATTATTATTGAACAATGATATTTTTTTATTTATTATATTTATTTGAAAGTTTTTATATATTTTGCTTAACGCATATAAATCTTTCTTTTTATATAAAATAAATCGGTTCTAAACCGATTCTGACTTACAACTATTGAGGTGATATTTTATAACCAGATTGATGCAAACAAGAATTTTGAAATATTAATTCCAATGGTACTCTTTTGGTTTAGTTAAGTGAAAACGTTTTATACTAACCTATAATAATTGTCTATCGATAAAAACAAATCTAAAATTGATTTATTGATATCTGAAAATAAGTACATTAATACACTTAAATACTTAAAATCACTGTACAGTATGTACTTTTTTCAACGTAATAAATTAATAAATTAATAAATTAATAAGTTAAATATATGGTCATAAATTAATTTTGAAATAATTGGGTTTCTTTTTTTAGTATGTACCGTATATCGTAAACATAAAAAATGTCCTTATTTTTTTCGTCAACCAGTCACCAGGTGGCCCTTTTACAACCAATCTTATTAGCTTGTACTAAGATGACTTGTTTATTTCTGCCATAAACATTTGTGCATTGATATTAGTGTTGTACCCCATATTTGACCATGTCTCAAAATCGACTTGGGAATTTGGATATTTCAAATAGAATTGGTATCGATTCTGAAATAATTCAAGTAAATTTTATTTTAGAGTTTTTTATATATAAGCCGGCCTGATTGAATGATCATTTTGTTAAATTAGAAACTGATCTAAAATCAGGCTGGTCTTCTATAAAAAAAAAAGATCCTTAAAAGATTCAACATTCAAACTACAAAATTAATATATAAAATTCTAAAAAAAAAGTTTTGTAACGGCACTTATATCATGTGAGCCCTCTATGCTAATAGTCTCATTATAATTTAATGGAATTAAATTATAAGCAAAATACGTATTAACGTTAATTATACATTTGTCCATAGTATGAACTTGGGAAAATTTTTCAAAAATCTGATATCAAATAAGAAATCCAGTTATAAAGGCAATACTTGCAAAAAATAATTACCGTAAAGAAAGCACACATGGTGATATTTATTGATATTTTTAGTATATGCTGCACATTCACAATAATTTTGTTTCAATTTTTTTTTTTTTTTTAAAAAATTAAAAATTGGCCCACATTTAGTTTGTTTAGAATATAGACTAACGAATAATTAAGACTGATTAATACATGATTTTTTCATAAAATGAATTATGTAGTAAAATGTAAACATCATCAAATACATTTTGACATACAACGAGCGTGTAAAAATTAATGATGTGCAACTTCTTTTTGAATTATAAGAAAAGGTGTATTAACTTTACTTGTTTAAGCATTAAAAAAATGATGACCAAAAATAAAAGAATGGTTTGAAGAGTCCAATTTAGTTAATAGAGGAATTCCTATACAAGGGGAGCTTTACTGAATAGATTATGTTGTATTCGATTTGATAATTCGGCATTAATCATAGTTTCCGTCCGATGTATTTTATTTTTTCAGAGTCCTTAATTGAATATTAAAATTTTAAGAAATTCAACTTGTAAAGACGTCTTAGAAATTTTTTCTGAATAAGTGGATTATAGGAACTTCTTTTCCACAAAGGATTTGACAAGTAAATGTAAATAAATTATTGTTTGATTCTGCTGTATCAATAACAGTTGCAAAAAAAATTATGATCTGCTTTTTTTTTTTTGAACAATCTATATAACTAAAAAAATTTGTTTAGTCCCCGCATAAATAATTTGAATTATGTAACTTGAAATCCCATGCCATATAATTAAAACCCGCGACATGCTTCCGCCTCCGCCTAATCTATTTATGGTCAAAAACTATTCGATCCGTGTGCATTCCAATCAACTAATCCAATTTCAGTTAATGAAATTTTACCTTAATCGGAATTTTTTTTTTGATTATTAATTTTTTTGTCCGATTTTTTTTTTTCAAACCTAAAAAAAATTTTTTCCCTTTTCTTCTTTCGGTTTAGTTTTTTCAAACTGAAAAATTTGGTTTTTTTCATTCTTTTCCCGTTTAGGTTTAATTTTTTTTTCTCAAACTGAAAATTTTTTTTTTTTTTATTAAATAATCCTATTGTTTCGGTCTTTTTAAGACCGATTTTTTTTCATATTATTTTTTTTTCGAGACCGGATTGTTATTTTTTTATTATTTTTTAAAAAAAAATTTTTTTCACTCTTTTTGGACCGAATTATTGTCTTTTTTTTCAGAATGTCTTTTCGGTACTTGTTTTTCTTTTCGGATTCCTTTTTTTTTCGGAAATTTCCCTTTTTTTAAACCGGTTTCTTTCTTTATCCTTTTTCTTTCCCCAAATTTTTTTTTAATTTTTTTTTCTTTTTCTTTCGATTTTTTTTTATTATTAAATAAAGAAATAAAATATTATATTAAATATACTTACAAAATTATTATTTTTTTTTTTGAAATCAATATAACATGTATGAAAATTGACCGACGTTGATAGAAAGATAATTAAGATTTTTTCAATTAAATTGAACGCTGGATAAATAGTTTGATTTTCAAATTCATAAAAAATCAAAAAAAATTGATATTTTTACAATATTTTATAATTAATTACAGTCGCCACTGGTTATAACGAACCTGTTTGTACCGAAAACTTGTTGTATTGAACCAAGTTTCACAGAACCGATTTTTTTATAATTAATTGCACTGGATATAACGAAATCACATAATAAATTACTATATACCGCATCCGAACTTATTTTAGCCAGCCCAAGTATATCAGTTACATATTTAGTATACCGAACTATCACGTGACTTTAATTAGTGATATAAAAGAATGGACTACCGGAAAAATTATTTCTGCTAGTATCAGATAAAATTTTCATTTGAATAGCTGGTAAATACTTAAAAAATCGATGAACACATAAATTTTAAATAAAAAATAGTGTTATCTGTTATAGTAAGTCATGTAATCATCAGAACTTTAAATATTACAGTATATGCTGCTATAATTTAATTGGATAAAATTCATATACCGAACAGTTCGGTATATAATATGAATATCATATATCGAATTCACCATATACCGAACCAAAACGCTTGGAACGGCAGGTTCGTTATATCCAGTGGCGACTGTAGTTGAAGAAATTGTTAATTTAATAATAGATTATTATAACCACCGGAATTCTCTAAATAATCACCAGATTTTTGAATAAAGATTTTAATTCAAATAGTTTAGTTAATTAATGATTTATTCGAGTAAAATGAGTATCAAAAGAATAATACATTTAATTGTTCAAATATTTTTCCTAAGTTGGTTATAAGTTTAAGATTGACGTAATATAAAATAATAAGAAATAATTATAAAATATTTTATAATTATTTAATAAAAATATTTGTAGTATTTTCATATAATATTAAAGTTTTTTCGAAAATACTTCTAAAAAAATTAATCAATTTTTATTGATAATTATTTTTCACAACTCGTTAATTAATCCGAATTTCATTCTACACTCAAACGTCAAATTAATATGAATATTAAATATAATTTATATCATTCTAATATTATAAATATAATTTAATACATTAGTTATTTTTTGTTAACTAATTATTAACCATATTAAATTCGATGCGAAGAAACGGGTGACTGCTAGTAATACCTAAATATTTTAATAATGTACTATTAAATTTAAATATTATGTTAAGAAATATTTTCAGAACTTCCAATTGATATTTCTAATTTTCTCAAACTTTCTACATTATGAAGTAGTGTATGTGATCAGATGATTTATTGGACAATTTGAAACGAAACCCATACATTGTGTTTTGATCACTTTTTTAATACAGTAACCACTAATGTAATAATAAGAATTACGTGAAAAGTCCGATCATAGAAATCGTAAGAATCGAAACTCTCCGAGTTATATACTGATAGCGAAATGTGCAAAAGAATATTTCGAACGTGATACCTGATACAGTGATGCAAAATTTATATGTACACATGATCACTTTTCACAAAAATTCCACAGCTGATATTTATTTATTAAAAAAATTTGAACCACAATAAGTACTAAAAAAATAAGCTTTTTTTTCATAATTCGATTATTATTTGACTTCATTTTAACAACTCCTTTTCAACATCTCTCAATGCCAATTTCAGTCAATTCTTATAAGTGCTCTCTTATTTTCTTAATTCCATTAAAAGTCATGGTGCATCCATAATCTAATTTACGTAATTTAATTTTCCAACTAGGTTCTGAACATTGTTTTCGATATAATATATTTATTATTCCATTTAGAAGATAATTTTCCTCTTCTTCAAGCAAACCGTTATTTTCATGACTTTTTTTGACAATAGGTTTCATCAGTAAATTTATATTTATTTTCCAAGTTTCTTGATGAACAATTCATAAATTATCTGTGATTTAAAGTTCGAGCTAGAATTTCTTACGAGTCGAATTGATCGATTCAATCGGACCATCGACTTGGCCCGTCGGTGGATCGGTTTGACTTGTACCACTTCAAGCCATAAGTAATTTAAGTCAGATGATTTGTCACACAATTGCGTTTATCAATATAAGGACATTTTTTTTCTTTTTTTTTTTAGTAACGCATTTCTAATATAAGGACTTTTTCTATTTTTATAAATTAATTTTAACAAAATGACGAGTGAATCCAATAATAAAAATGATGATACGGATAATAAATGGATTCAATGGATTAAAGATGGAATTGATAACGAATATATCAATTATCATGATTACAATGAGTTTCAAGATATGGAATGTATTGGCGTTGGAGGATTTGGTAATGTTTATCGAGCTAACTGGAAGAGTTCAGATACCGTTGTTGCATTAAAATCTTTGACAAACGGTAAGGATGGTATGAAAGAAGTTGTTAATGAGGTATTTAGGGTTATACTACATTGTTTTATTACATTATAATTATTATCATTTTCCTAACAGTTTATTAAATGTATATTTATTTTTTGTAGATAAAATTAATGCATAGAATTAATTTTCATGAAAATATTATTCAATTTTTTGGGATTACGAGTAATCCAAGTAAGCACAGTTGTATTATATAATTTTAAATAACTTTAGATTGCTGACAAATTTAATTATTCATTTTTTTTTTTTTAGACGATGAAAGTTCAAATTACTCGTTTATTCTTGAATATGCAGATAGTGGTACATTGAAAAATTATTTAAAAAAAAATTTCAATAAATTGGATTGGAATATTAAGTTACAATTCGCAATTCAAATTGCTGCTGCCGTCTCATGTATTCATCAAAAAGATATTATTCATAATGATCTAGTAAAGTATTTTATTTATTTTAATATTTTAATTGTTATCTATTAATATCAATATATTAAATTTTAATTAATACTTTTAGCATTCTGGTAATATACTGGTTCATCAAAATAAGATCAAATTAACAGACTTTGGTCTTTCACATAGAGCTGGAGTATCAAGTTCTGTCGAAGGCGTTTTTGGAATTATACCTTATATTGACCCACAACGTTTCAAAAGGCAAACAAACGAGAATAATCATTATATAGCAAATAAGAAATCAGATGTATATAGCGTTGGTGTGCTCCTATGGGAAATATCATCTGGACGACAGCCATTTGAATCTTGCGACAATATTCATGATGAAACAGCATTAATATTATCAATTTTAGATGGAAAAAGAGAAACTCCAATTTTTAATACACCAATTGATTACATTAACATCTATACAAGTATGAAATATTTTATTATATTGTGATTTTTTTTATCTAAATATTAATTTTAAAATTTTAAAAAAATTTCAAGAATGCTGGCAAGATAATCCAAGCGGTAGACCGGAAATGCAACAAGTATTTTCTGAATTAAAACTAGTTAATTTAAATACTTCAGAATTGATAGAAAAATGTATAAAGGAGAAGGATGTAGAATACTATGGATATAATGAATTTAATAAAATTGAAGAGATAGCTAGCGGATTAGTTAGTAAAGTCTATAAAGCACATTGGGAACGAAATGGAAAATGTGTAGCGTTGAAATTATTTAATTTAAAAGATGATGCTATTGCTAAAGAAGCTGTACACGAGGTAAGTAACTAAATGGAGAGTGTTTAAATTTTAATTGTGTTAAGAAAAATTTTGATATTTCATTCATTATAGATAAAATTACATCGGGAAGTTGACTTAAGTAATGTGATGATAAAATTGTTTGGGATAACTAAAACAGATTTGGGTAAATTGTCCTTTTAAAAGGGTTTGGAAATGTTATGAGACATGCAATTGTAAGTTTAAAATTTAAAAATTTTTTCGAAATTTTTTTTTTTTAGGCGAATATTTACTGATAACAGAATATGCGGAAGGAGATACGCTTCGTAATTATCTAAAGGAGAATTTCCCTTCGTTAAATTGGCTGGACAAATACAGATTAGCTCTTCAATTATCAAATGCAATAAGATATTTGCATGAAAGAGAAATGGTACATAAAGATCTACATTCAAACAGTATACTTATACAACAAAATTCCATAAGATTAGCAGATTCTGGATTAAGTAGACGTATTAAAGATGTTAGTCGAACTTCTATAAATTCATTCGACACAATTCCTTATACTGATCCACGATGTATCAACATTAAAGAAAATTCTATGGATGCACATAAAGGAGGAAAGCAAATAAAAAAATTTGATTTGAATGAAAAAAGTGATATTTATAGCCTTGGAGTAATATTTTGGGAATTATCAAGTGGAAAAAAACCTTTTGCTGATGATGAGTATGATTCACCTTTAGCTATGAAAATTGAAAAAGGGTTAAGAAAAGGAATAATAGAGCGTACACCTGAGAAATATTCTAATCTTTATACAAGTAAGTAATTATTCCATATTTAATTTATAAATTATATATATAAATTAAAAAAAAAATTGAATTATTTTTAGAGTGTTGGGACGGTGACCCAGAAAAAAGACCGACGATTCAGAAAATTATTATGATTTTGGAATCAATGGTATCGTCGCAACACATAATTCAACATTTTAAATTAAATTACGGATTATTCTTGGATGGGTGCAGAATAGAACCTAGTAAACAAGCTGTATTAGTTGAGAGTGGCGAATTGAATATGAGTTTGTATGAAGGACATCCTTTAGTGTATACTTTTATAAACGATCGTAGCTCCAATACAAATTTATTAAGTTTTAATTCTGATGAAGATTGCGTTGAATTTAACGAATCTCTACAACCATCTGATATCTGTATTAATTTTCCTGTTGCTGAAATCACTTATACAGCTGATTTATCTGAATCTTATTCGAACTTTATGGATGATGATGTGGCATTATATGAAATGTATGGTCATATATTCTCAAAAAGAATCTTAATTGGTGGCAAATTATTTATCGATGGTCTTAAATCAGCAACTTCTCGACAAATTGATCTCTTTGTCTCTTTCTTAACTTGGGCATATGATTCAGCTAGATATAGAAAAGAGAATCCATTTAGTAATTTATCTGCCATGAAGTTCTTTCCAAAAATAACAACGTTAGAAGAAGAAGAAATAGATACTCCTTCAAAATTAATCAATTGGATAAATAATTTATACCAAAAAAATATGGCCAGTATAATTTCGTATAGGAATCTCGTTCCCATTTCTGAATTAAGATTCGGTACATCATCATCGACATCATCATCAAATGAAAAACAACCTGGAGTTGCTAATTTCAAAGGGGAATTAAGTTTAGAAGAATGGGTTAAAGACTATATATATGTTAATCTAGCTAGGTGGATTAAGGAACTTCATCTTGTTCAAGGTCTAATAATTAGTAAACATTTTGAATTAGAAAATAACAAGAAAATTGCTATTGACTTTATTAACGTTCCCAAAGTGAACTCAAGCGATAAATCATATTTGGAATTTATAAAACCGACGCCCACCTTGGAAGAATTCTTAGCATTTAATATGATTAACGAAGACATGACATTATTGCCATTTATTAAAAAATCTGCTAAATCTGTTGATTTAAGTTATTGTGATTATATGCATCTTATGATAAATTGTGAAAGATACGAAATTTTGTTAAATAGAGGTGATATTAAAGCTTCGGGAAATTTTAAACAAGCTATAGAAGAAGCACTTGAAAGTATGAAGCCACATACGTCTTTACAAAATGTATTTGATGAATACGGATATTTTTTTCCATTAAATATTGTCTTAGGGAAGTCACTTAAAAATATTTTACCAAATCCATCATCATTTACTTTCGAAAAGTCTCTTTTAGAAATACCCCTATTTGAATCGATAAAGTCTCATCTGGATAAGTTGAAGATTAAGTATCTTCTAACAAAAAAAGGAAACGTTATTGAAATCAATGATTTATATAGCTGGATTCAAAATACAAATGATGATTTGGAAATTGTTAAATTTGATAAAATAATCTCTTTGTATGATATTCTTGAAGAAAAACAGAAATATAAAATAAATATTGTATTAAACAACCAAGATAAACTTAAAATTATAATGACGGGAACTGTTGACTTAAAAGATTTAGATATTAATAATACTGAACATTTTAAACGAATAAATGTAAAACCGTCATTGGAAAACGGAAATTATGAAGTTTTTGGATCAATTATTTCAAAGGATAAAAAAGAAAACTTAAAATCAGATTTTTTTATTACATTTGGATTATATGATATTAATGGATTTTCTGCAATGATAAAAACTCTAAATGTAAATAATTCAAAGATCAATATAACTGAATGCTATATTTTATGGATGATTATTGGAAAACCTTCAGAATTATCAGTATTTAGTCCAAAGAACCGAGAGTTGCAAGTTTATTATATGAGAGATTATATTACATTACAACCTGATAACTCATACTATTCCATTAGAACTTCTTATCAATTATCTCAAGAAGATACGATTTCTGTTAATATTTATTGTTCAACGACAAATTGTGGACTTATGGATGTTAAATTTGTTGGATGGTCGAAGAGCACTATTAGTTTACAAATCATTTATAATGAGTTAAATTTAAACATTCCAAATTCAAACACGGTAATTTCTGTTGATAATGATAATGATACTGATCCTTTAATAAGTATTGACATACGTATTTCTATTTTATCTTCAAAATATAAAAATTTAAAGATTGATAATGAAGAAAAAGAATTTTATTTAAACTTAATTGGTCATATTTTAGATAATGAAAATTTTATCAAAGAATCATCAGGCGAAGATAATCCAAATGCACATATTAAAGATAAGGGTAAAAAGCGTAGCAAAGATGATGATGATCAAGCATCAGAACATCTTCCTCGTTTTAAACTTAGAATAGATGAGCCACCTATGGATTTAGATTTTTCAAATACTTATCAACAACAAACCATTTCAAGTCCTTTACCATCATATTCGACATATTCAAATTTTTCAACAATTTCAACACATTCAACATATTCTAATCCAGTATTTGATAATAATCAAAAATTATTTCCACAAGAAACTAGCTTGAACTCAAATTATATTCCATCTCAAGAAGATAATGAATTAAATAGATTTAAGATGATGAGTATAGATAATATAGTGGACTTGACTCGTAAAAATACTTCTGATACAACTGCTAATCTGGATTTAGTATCAAATTTAATGTTTAAAGAAGTATGTAGTATAACACAAAATATTGAAGAATTTACTCCTCTAATTAAATCATTCCTTGCTTTAAGAAAAGAGATTGTATCATTATATGAAAAAGCTGAACATCATAAAGAATTATGTAGTTTTCTTTTACAAAGATGCAATTGTGCTATGGTAACTGTAGAAGATTTATATATTAGAAAAACTGAGAATGAAAAATTTTTTTATAAACAAGGAAATTTAAATTTATTTAAAGATTTTATTAAATGTATAAAAAGGATAAAAAATTTTATAGAAGAAATAAGTCAATTGGGTAAATATCGGAAATTTTTATTAACCAATAATATTGAAGAAACTTTTTCTGAACTTACAACTGAATTTGATGGATATATGAATAGTTTAAATTTTCCCTTTACCATCCAAGCTATTGATGAATTTAAAGTAATTAAAAATGAGACAAGGGAGATAAAGAAATTATTAGTAAATGTTTATGGAGTTTCTGATGATAAACAATCTCAACAAAAGTTTTTAAAAGATATGGATTCTTTAGCTGAAAGAAATAAGGAATTTCAAAAACAGAGTAAACAGAATAAAGTTTTGGATTCTTCAGATTTTAAATTATTAGAAGTGAATGAACCTTTACTGGATGGTAATGATTATCAAAGGACTAAAATTTGTCCTTCAAGAAGGATTGAAAAACGTACTTTATCTTCTGATGATAATATTATTCAAGAATTTTGTTTTAAAGAATTTTCAAATAATACTACAAATTCTCCTTCTGATGAATCTCAAATTGAAATTAGAAGACAAGTTAATATTCTTAAAGAATTAAAAAATACGAATAATATAATAAGATTTTTTGGTGTTGCTCAAGAAAATTCGAAATTTTATTTGGTTACTGAATGGATGGAACTTGGTAATTTACATGAATATTATACTAATTATAAAGATAAGATGAATTGGGAAACAAAAATTAGATTTGCTTTGGACATTTGTTGTGGTATTTCTTATCTTAACGATTGTCAGGTAAAAATAAATGAAAGATTTTTGAATGATCTTCAAAAAAATAGTAATTCTCATAATTCTCATGATTCTTTATTAATTCATTTTCACTATTTTTTCTTCTTTTTTTAGATTCTTCATCATGACATTCAGTCGGCAAACATTTTAGTAAATATAAATGAGAAAATAAAAATAACAAATTTCGGTTCAAGTAAGAAATTCTATGATCTTACTAGAAATATATCGCCTAATATTGAAAATGTAAGATACATGGCTCCTGAAAAATTATTAACAGATAACAATACAAAAAAGGAAAAAGTTCCCTATGATTTAAAGTGTGAAATATACAGGTATGAATCATATATTATCATGTAACTATTAATTATTTATTTAACCTATTTTTTTAATATTATGTAGTGTTGGAGCATTATTATGGGAAATCGCTGAATTGAAAAAACCTCATTCTGATCTTAATAAATCTGAAATCCTTGTTGGTATTAGAAATCGTGTTAATGAAAGATATAATTTACCATTTTCAGATGGTATACCAGATGATTGGAAAAATTTAATTAGAACTGGTAAGTTTAAAATAATAATAATAATTATTATTTTTTTTAAAAAAAAAACGAAATATAATGATTTATTAATATATTTAAAATGTTATTTATTAGCTATGTTACATGAACCAGCATGTCGTCCTAAAATATCAAAAATTTGTCATAAACTTCATAAATTGAGTAAAGATTATTCCAAATTCTCTACATTAGATGATTGTACTGAAGATTATGATGAAAATTTATCATCAATTGATGATAATCAAAGTACGATGACTTCCATTACAATTCTTACTGTTGAAGATGCTATTCGTGCTCATAAATCAAAAAATGGAAATAAACAATTAGCTTGGCAAAGTTTTAAATATCATTCTGTAATCGATATTTACGCAAAATATATGGTTGGTTATTATTATTATCATGAAGAAGTTCCTGAATTACAAAAAATTAGTAAAGATGAAAGGGTTAGAATTGCTGTAGAAATATTTAAAGAAACTGCTGATAAAGGAAATCCTTCTGCTCAATTAAGATATGGAATATGTTTATGGCAAGGTGAAGGTATAAGTGCTAATTCTTTTGAAGCTCTTAAATATTTAAAATTATCTGCTAATCAAGGAAATTCTGCTGCTATGTATGTTATTGGAAAAGCTTATTTAAATGGTGGTAATGGTATTGAACAAGATAGGGAGAGGGGTGCTAAATATTTAAAAGAAGCTGCTTTAAAAAATCATTTAAAAGCTAAAGAAATGTGTATTAAAAATAATATCATTTTTTAAATATTTTTATGTTATTCAATACATTTAGAAACTTTATAAGTAATATTCAAATATCTGGTTTATTTCAAATAAAATGTACAAAATTATATTATTATTTGCTATTGATTATACATAATACGTAAAATTTGTACTTCCAAAAATAAAATTTTCTACTACATACATAAATTGTTAATTGAGAAATTATGAAATTTTTCTTCGTTTAAATATATGCAAGTCTTATTAGTCAGTTAATTTTAGTTTATTCTTTCGTCAACAGTAAATTTTCGAGAAAGATACAATGAATAACCGAGTCATTTACTGGTAAGCATATTTTGCGATCTTTTCATGAGTGTTGGATTAGTAGCCAATTCTGCTAATTGTGCTTGCCATTTATTTTCGCTTTTCTGGCTAAATGTTTCCTTAATTTGTAGCTTACGATCCTTGCTAAGTTTACTTGATTCGTTTTTGCTAACATTTTCGCTAAGTTCGATTGATTCACCCTTATTAATTCATCATCATTAAATTCACTTGATTTATCCTCATTAACTTTGATCGATTCATCTTTGCTAAATTCAAATTCATCAAAATCTAAATCTAGTAATAATTTATAAAATGCTTTTCGCAACTCCTTGGCCATTGGACGATTGGTAGAAATAGGATCCCAACAATGTTCATTAATTTAGCATATGGTTCAGGTGTATATTCTGGAATTTGTGGACGTTGACCATAACAAATGGCTAAAGCCAAATTCTCATCATACTCCCTATTAACAAAAGGTGTTCACCACTAATCAATTCTGACATTATCATTCCAAACTCATAAATAACTGCTGCTTTAGTGAACTCTTTACCAAGTAAAACCTCTGGTGAGACAAATGGTAAGACACCATATAGTATTTTGTCTGTAGAACTTTGATACACAGACCAAAATCTGAAATTACTGATCCGATAATATTATCAGAGTAAATTTCATTCAAGATGTTGCCACTGTGTAGATAGTATTTTGAATCATAAATAGAATCCAGTCCTTCGCTAATTCTGCTTAATATTTCTATGATGTCTTTCCAAGTTAGATTACTGTGATTTTTTTTAATAATTTTCCCTAGATTACCACCATTTTTGAATTCAATAACAATAGCGTATTCTCCATTTTGTGGATCACGAGTCACTCCATAAATTTGAATAATTCAAGGCCACCTGTTTTACTATTTATTTTTAGATTAGAATTAACCTGCAAAATTTTTAAATTATTTTGTGTGAATATTTGTTTTCTTCATAGTACATGAAAAAAATAATTTAACCACCTCATTTAAAAAATCTGAGCTGACATTAGTCATATTCTGAAATTTCTTTACTGCCACTTCCTTTTTATTTTCCCATCACCATTCAGATTTATTCAAATCCCAAGCTTGTTTATCCTCCACAATTGGACCATCTTTCCAAACTGCTTTATAAACACTCCCAAACCCGCCATGAACAATAAGTTCAATATTTTCAAGATTTGAGTATTTAATTTCCATGATTCGCTGTATTGAGTTGAGAATTTTAAATAAGTTTGTCAAGACTTGAATCACTGCTGGTTCAATGTACAAAATTATTATGAAAATGTACAGAGTTGCACGGTTTACAATAAGCAAAAAATTTTTGACCACATACCTGACATTTACTCATCCTTATTAATTTAATTTTGAGACTACTGTATATAAAATAAAAAAGATTTACATAGGGCATGACCAATAGCCAATAATTTTATCCGACAAGTACACGTTTTTTGAAATGTAAATTCTATATAGCCATGCAAAAAATTGGGATGATCATTACTATAAAATTAGGTGAACTTCCCAAATATAATGTAGCCAATAAAAAATTTGAAGCAGGGTTATGGAAAGCCGTCCTTGACAAAAGGTTGATGTCCAAACATCATGAAATATAATGTTTAGACATCATGATGGTATGTCTAGACATCATGTTTGATATATGTAGGATGATGTTTGTATATTATTTAACATGATGTGAAAGACATCAACCGACATGATGTCTAGACATCATGCTGATCAAATTACCAAATATAGTATATTTATGAGTTACACAAAATAAAATTTACTATATTTGGTAACATGATGTCTAAGACATCATGTCGGTTGATGCTTGAGCATCATGTTGAATGATGTACAAACATTATTCTATATATATTTGACATGATACTCTAGACATTATCCAACATGATGTCTGGATATCAACCTTTTGTCAAGGACGGCTTTCCATACAGGGTCTAACCAAGTGTTACACAAAACATCACTACCGACAATACGGACAAAAAATTCATCATGTGTATGGTATCTTATGTAGTGCTTCGATTCGGATGAAAACCATCATCCGGGTTACACAAAAAAGACCCGATTTGATTTACAACTGATCGGCAATAATTCTGGCCAGTATTCATAACGCCGGCCGGAATTACAAATTTGTGTAACATTAAATTTTCGCCATTATGCTTGGCCAATAAAAATTTTTACCCGGTGGCTAAACTATTTTTTCGGTGTCACGTGATATTAATTTTCGGCCAGAATTACAAATTTGGCCAAAATTATCTATAAAGACCGCTAAATTTTCATAATTCCAATTTTATTCAATACTTTTTTGTAAAACAATTTCATATTATTTTAGCATTGTCTCAGACTATTGTTTAAACATTTCTTTGTAACTATAATTATGAAATTTTTGATAAACAAGATATTTTTATATACAGCTAAAGATTACTATAGATAGATGTGTTGAGTTAGTAAGGCAATCCTTAAAATGTTAAAATGAGATTTGTTTCTTCTTTCAAAAATTAAAGAATCATTTGAATCAAATTATATAACACTAAGATTTTAATTTCTAAAAAAAGTTATTGTAATTGTATAAATTTTATAGTATCTCAATTTTTTGTAATTTGATTTAATCTGAATAATTATTCATTTAAAAATAATAATTATTATTTTATTGTAAAAAAAATAATAATAAATTTTTTTCTTTTGAACATTTGAATGTGAAAAATGATTCATTGTTTAGTAAATTATTACGCCCGTGATTAGTTACCAATCAAACGATCTCGTGAAATTGTCAATAACATCTTTACGAAGTTGTAAATACTATTACAGTAAATAGGTGGTAACTGCTTGACATAAAATAAATAAATAAATAAACTAAGGTGGTAAATAACATCGAGAATTAGTAAATTAATCTAAGATATTTCTTAGGTGTATTGAATATTGTTTAGCGATGAATCTGCCAATTTATTTTATTCATATTTTATATAAATTTATTTTATATGATAATTTTTAACATCGGGAAAAGCCTTATGTATCATGTGATACACATGATATTGTAAAATAACTATAGTTTGATCTAAACTATTTTACAATTTGTTTCGTTAATATAATAATAAACTATTTTTAACTTTTTTAAACTTCGTCTCAATATTTGTACATCTTTCCTTCATTTTTTTCTTTGTCCTTTTCCTTTCTTTCCTCTTTACCTTTTCTTTTTCTTTCATTTTTTCTTTCTCCTTTCTCACTTTTTCATACTTTCTGTTGAAAAAAAAAATCCTTAATGAAATAATTTTTTTTATTTTCTTTTAGATGGTTCTCTCAATGTCCCTGGACACAAAAATTTTGGTAAGTTTTCAATTTTTTTTCTTTAATTGTTCATATTTTATCAAACAGTTAACAGTTTGTTCTCTTTCTTTTTTTAGGTGGTTCTCAGTCATGAGATTTTGATAAGATAATTTTCATTTTTTCTTTTAATGATAACGAATTTATTAGCAGTTTTTTCTTCTTTTATATTTGCCAATTCTCTGGAAAGTAAGTGAGTGTCCCTTTTCTGTTTCCTTTTTCTTTTGTTATTACATCTCAACAAGACCCACACGGTTAGAATGCATCCGCCCTCGTATAATAATTTATCCAGAGGACACGCGTCTATACCGTTATGGATGGTCCTTATCAAAAAGAAAGTTCCTTACGATTCTAAATGTGAAATTTGCAGGTAATATTTTTTTATGACGCCCTTTTTGTATAATGTATATTGATATACAGTTATATTAATATATATATATATTTTTTTTATTTAAAAAAAAAATTATTATAATAATTATATAGCGTTGGAACATGATTATGGGAGATCGCTGAATTAAAAAAACCTCATTCTGATCTTAATAAAGCGGACATGCTTGTTAGTATCAGGAAACGAGTTAGTGGAAAGATATTCTATACCATTTTCAAATGACGTACCTATTGAATAGAGATTTATAGTAGCTAGAGGTAATATTATAATTAATTAATTTGTCTATACATTGAAAATTCATTCGATAATAACATTTTTTTAAAAAATATTTTTTAAGCTATGGAATATGGCGTCTTAACATATCTGATATCTGTCGTGATTTTTATAAAAATATCAACAAAAATCTATGTCATATGATTCTTCTATGTTTAATTTTGAATTCACAGAATATGGTTGTTTTGATGAACCAATAATAAATAATGATGATAATCCAAGTAATCAAAATCAAAAGATTTTCCAGATTCTTCCGTTCATTTGATGATGCGCTTCGTGAGCATAAATCCAAAAATAGTAACAGACGATTAGCGTGGGAAAGTTTCAAGCATCATTCATCGACAAGTCTTGAAGCAAAATATTGGTTAGGTTATTATTGTTATCATGATAAAGAAATTCCCAAATTACAACAGATTAATAGAAGATTAAGAATTAAGACGTAGTGGAATTATTTAAAGAAACTGTGAATGAAGGAAATCCTTTCGCCTAATTAAGATATGGAATATGTTTATGGCAAGGTGTTGGTGTTGCTGCTTTTTTTAAATATTTAAGAGCTTCAAAAGAATTTAGCTTATTGGAATGGTGGTAATGGTGTCGTAAAAGATAAAAATCAAGGAGCTGAATATTTAAAAATGGCTAATCATCCTAAAGCTAAAGAAATGTGTATCGAAAATAATATTAATTACAATATGTCAATATATAATATAAATTTTTTCATAAAATTTTTTTGGATATTTATTTGTGTATAATAATATAATACAGGTAAATAAAGAAAAGAATTGATTGTAAAGAAAATGATTCAATAGATAACCAATAGATATTAACTAGGGATACTAACTGGCGAGTATCTCATGTGAAAATCAATAAAAAATATAATGCTGTATATTTTAGTCCTCTTCTTCGCTTCTTGATGAAAATAAATTGTCCAATAAAAAAGTTAAATAAAACCTTATAAAAAAAGTGTAACACATGATTTTTCCACTAAAGATTCTTGCAACACTGTCATTAAAAATTTAAAAACGCAAAATTGAAACGATTAAAAGGAAAATTAGTAATAAAATGCAAATTTTAACATGTAAATTTCGTTGTTATTGAAACCATTTATCAAATTTACTGGAAAACTCATAAATCTCCTATTGCAGAGTAAATTAAAATATTTTATCAATTATTTATTACACAATATGCATAATTATAATATTATAAACAGATTAAAATCCGAAAATTATAAGTATTATTTATTTCATGGGGAGTTGGAAATAATAGGGTTTTTTTCCCGAAGGGAAAAAAGCCCTATTGTTTTCCTTCCCAGGAAATAAATGGGTAATCCCCTGGAGCGTGTCACTCATTAAATATTAACTATTTTAACTATCTTAAACTAAAATTAGTAATTTCCCGGCTATCTATATGAGACCGGGAAATAACTAAACGAAGATTCCCGGTCATTTATAAACTCAGCTAATCACTCGCAATTTTTAAAAATTAGTATGAAGGTGATCATGAGTGACACTTAGTGCGACAGGGATTACTAATTTTATAAGTATTATTTAAAATGTCATAATAATTTAACAATTTGCGCTTTTATTTTTATTTCAGTACTAAATAATATGATTTATTTAAAATTTTATTTGATTAATATTTGCCTAATAATTTTGTTCTATTACCCAAATATATATTTTCTAATGAAAATTTTAATCACATTTAAAAGTAATATTAATGTTAATATTACTAGAATTTTCTACAGAAATCTTGGAATTTTCAATTTTTGATATTTTAAATCGTCATCTTCTGATTCCCCTTTTCAACCATGCTAGTTTTGTCATGTTGTCCAACTAAATCAGATGCTTTAGAAAATCCTAAAAAAAAAACAAATGGTTAGTTCTGAATAACAAAATTAAAGTTTTAACAAATGTTTACTATTACATACCTAATTCATTTGTATAGTTGGTTGAATCCTTTAGTGCTGCCTTTTTGGTAGGAATTAGGAGAGAAATATTGTCTTGTTTACGCTTGATAGATTGATGTTGATAAGCAGATACACCTGCAATTGTTTTATGTCGTGAAAAGTTCATCTGCTCGTCAAGAGTAACACCAGATTCAACAAGATTATGAATACCTGTAGATCGCATTGAATGATTAGTAATGCTACGATCTTTAAAATCCAACCCCGAATCAATACATATATTACGCATTATTGCATCATGTGACCCTTTTCCTAGCTTTGTTGTTAAGTACCATTCCCCGCAACCTATTTTTTTGGGAGTATTGATTGATACAAAGAAATAATCATTCTCAACATTATTAGGACGTTTAGTTAAGTAGTTTTTAATATCTGCAACAGGAGTATAAACATTTCCTAAAGTATCAGGTGGTATAAAACTAATACCAGATACTGCATATGGATCTTTAATCCCTCCTGCATGATTCTTTTCCTTAGGTAACTCAAGCTTTATTCCACCGTCATCCATTTCAATAATCCAAGAAGCTTTCAATCATTTTTTTAGCATCACCACCTCTTAAACAACACAATAAGGTTAACCAACGAAATCCATACTCTTCTCAAAAAGCCTTTAGGAGTATCTGTTGTAGTGGCAGGTGAGTTAAGTAAAAATTTGATTTCATCAATTTCTAATGGATCTGATTGTTTTCGGTTATTATTTCTTTGATCAGCGATTGATTTCATACGACCATCTAAAGTTCTATGTAAACTCTTAAATTGAGAAGCGTCAAATAAGTTTATAACCTTAATATTTTCAAATATTTCAGATATCTCTTGTGCTATAGCACAAAATCCGACATAAAGTGAAGAAGCTTTATATTCTTGACCATTAGATTTTCTTACTTCAACTAGAAATTTTTCTAACTGGTCGGATAGTGTTTTATTATCCAGTTCAACAATATCATTTGAATAACCATAAACTTCACGAAATTTCATAAATAAGGTCATCCATTGTTTGTTAGATTTGTCTGTATTTACATTTCTTGATGCATTCTGGAATTCTAAAATTGACTCTTTAGTTGATGAAACAAATCGTGTAGCCATTGCTTTTATTCAAAAAAGAAATGGTAATAAGAAAGGGAAAACAAGTTTATTAATATGAAAATGGATAATGTGGAAAATTTTAAGAACATTAAAAGAAAGTGAAAACGCGAGAAGGAAAGTGTGAGAGGAAAGAGAAGTGTGAGAAAAAATAGTGCAAAAAGAGTCTAAAATAGTTAAAAATAAGTAATAATGTGGAAATTTTAAGAACATTAAAAGAGAAAACGCGGAAAGGGAAAGTGTGAGAGGAAAGAGAAGTGTGAGAAAATAATGTAAAAAGAGTTTAAAATAGTTTAAAATAGTTAAAAGAGTTAATCACGTGTTAAATTTAATGAGTGACACGTAACCACACACCTACGAACAAGCAACATCACCTAGTACTCCTGCATAAATTTGTGATTTGTATTAAAATCTCTAATATTTCTTAAAAACTTAATAAAAGAAATGATAATTTTTATGTTAGAATTTGTTAAGAATTCATTACCGTTGTAGAAAGAATAAAATAAAAAAAAATTTGTGAAAGGCGCAGCAGTAAAATTAGGATCACGTAAAAAGTAACCCTCCATCAACTATATATTATTAACACTTTATCAAGAGTTGAAGGTCTATTAGGAAGTGAAGAATAAAAATAATTTTATACTATGTAATTATGACTTTGTCACATAATAAATTTATTGAAAATTAAATAAATTAGTGGTATAGCACCTTAACATCCGTCCAAGAATGTTCCATAATTCAATTACTTTTGAAATCGTTGTCTCCTCCTTGAACCATTGCCACCAATTGTATCTTTTTCTCTCTTGATCATCATGGAGAGCATGCTTACAGAAATAAATTATTTTGACTCGCATATGTCATTTGCGTTCTAACTCATAATGGCAAGAATGTTTTAATCACAAATACACGGGGAATGGATATGTTAGCTACCACTCTTGAATTTTTATTTGTTACAAAAAATCTATGTATATTAGTATATCTTATATTATTTTCACGTTATTTTTTTTTTAAAAAAAAAATTAAAATTAAAATTCTCCACAATAAAGTTTCGCTCACATTGTGGACTGTGAAGTATATGCATCACAGTAATTTTTTTTTACAAAATCAAAGCATTTTCCGATCATATCAATTACATGGCAGAATTACTTTTCAGAACTAAATAATATTCATGCTACTACAAAAAAAGGGAAAACCAAGAGCTTAAAATAAATATACATACGCATTCAGATCTTTATCCACGTGTTTTTTCTTACAGACGTACGACCTATAGAGAATGAATCCCGCATAAAAGCATATAATAACATATTTTAACTTGATTTTTTAATTTACTTATTATAGAGTTATGCAATGAGTGACGTTAAAGTAAAAAAAGAATTTTATTTATTATACAGTATTCATTTTTTTTTTTAAAAAAAAACAGTTTGTCGGTAAATTGAAACACGTGACATAGCAAATCGTATCACTTAGCTAAACCACGTGTTTATTATTTTTTTCCAAGTTCTCAGTTAATTTTTTACCAAGTGTCCGCTACATTTAAAATTGAACGATCCTAGCGATTATTAACTCTTCACCTTGCACCTAATGCACGCACTATCTATTCAAATTTTACTATAATTCGATTAATTCGTCATTTTTGATAAACATCATGTTTCACAAGAATCATCAACGTTTCACAAATTTGAATTTCAATTGTGTGACAAACATTTGACCTGAAACTGTTAATTGGCTGGCTTGGTACGACGAAAAATACTTTTACTCCTTTTTTTTTAGCTAACTTATAAAATGTTCAACTTCACAAATTTTTTTTCAAATAATGTCAATATTATTGTAACAGTAGAAATTATAAATGACTCGTCATCAACACATAATGCCAAGACAGCCCGTTTAAACCTTACAGATAATTTATTAAAAATTCGCCAAGAACTTAAAGAGGATGGGATTGTTGATAACACGTTATTGTTTTCAAGAAAGTATTTTAAGAATGACAATGATAAAAAAACCTATGGATTTGCTGAAATAGCACTTGAAAAAGAGGAAAATTATCGTTTAAATGAAATTATTGATCATAATGAGAATATTTTATATTTTAAACAATGTTCAACACCTGATTGGAAATGTTTGAATGGATTATGTAAATTAGATTACGGATGTACTATGACTTCTAACGGAATTAAGAAAGCAGAAAATAGAGCATTTGAAATGCAAAATTGTGAATTGGTTGAAATTGGTGGTAAAGGTTGTCGGAAAGGGTTTGTTGAATTTAAGTCGAATGATGATCGATTTATGAAAAAAAACTTATTTTTTAGTACTGATATTAATGTAAAAAGTTTGGGAAAATTAGGAATATCAATTGGAAATATGGAAAATGAAGGAGTTAATTCTGAAAATATTTCTTCTTATCATTTTACAGAATATGGCAAAGTATCTTTAAAATTTGATCAACATTTAAAACCGACTCAAGAATTTGTTAAAATAGTAGAAGGCGCAATTAAATCCAAAGATCCTGTTAAAGAACTTAAACAAATAACTGAGAAATATGGTCAGTTTATTCCAACTGAAGTAATTTTAGGTGGCAGAGCATATTTTAATGAACATATAACGTCAACTGGATGTTTTGCAGGAAATTCTAAAGAAATTGCTATAAATGCAAACGCTGGAGGGGTTCTAGGAGTCAATGCTGCAAGTGCTTTCAATTATTCAAAAGAAAAATCAACCTATTATAAATCTAACTGTACAAAATTAATTGGGGGAAACCAGCCTGACAACATTGAAATTTTTGATGAAGCAGCTTGGGTCAAGTCTTTAAAAGATTATAAAAGTTGGGATTCTATAGAACTTCAAAACCCTACTAGCATTTTCCAACTTTTATCCAACGATTTACGTAAACAAATCATTGAGTTTGTTGGAAAGAGAATTCATCATCAAGACTTTGTAGATTTTAGTTATTGTTTAGATGAATTTGGCAAACCAAAAATTTTTGAATTTAAGGATGTTATACCTTCAGATACTCTAAATATTATTCAAAATAAAGAGGCAGATTGTAATATTTTTGCAACTGTTATTGATACGATAGAATCAAAAAATGATTTTTTTACTTGTCAAGTCCTTTGTCCGCCAGATGGAAACCCAAGTCTTATAATTCATTGTATTCAGAAAAAATTTAAGAGATATCAATGCAAATTAAAAATTGGATGGATGGTGATTGGATATTATACGGATTTCAATTTTATACATTCAGATTTTAAAGCTCAATTAAAAATTTTGAAAAATGAATTTAGTATGCCAAATAATTCAAATAATCAAACCATGATTAACGCAGAATTATTAAGTTTTGAAAATCCGTTTATCAATATTCCTGCTTGTTTGGGAAGTCCTGTATTAACTAAGTTGGATTCTTCCAATGATTCCCTTATTATTGGGTATCATTTTTTCAACGCTCAAGAAGAGAACAAAATTGGAGCATGCACTTTCTCTTATTGTTTAAAAAATCATCACTATGTAAATTTACCTAAATTTACTTTCTATACCCTTATTATTTCAAAATATCATATTCCTAATGCTTATAACATAATTCCTTTTGACTATTCACTTTTAAATAAGCCATTTATTGATTTCAACAATAATATTACTGGATCTTGTATAAATCCGAAATTTATTAGTTTGTATTCTACGCAAAAAACTAATTATGGACCAATTTTTCTAAAACAAAAAAGTAAAAAAATTAAAACCAAAATTATTAAATGTAAAAAGAGCGCTTGTTTGGCTTGCAAAAATAAGACTATAACAATATCAAAAGATAATGTTAAATGTGTATTCTTCGATCCATATGTCGGATATATCGGGTATTTATTTTATGATTCTTATTGTTTTTTATTTAATTATAGCTATACTAACGCGAATAAAAATTTTATTTTAGAGAAAATAGTGTTTACATGAATTTAGATTAAGTTGACTGTGTTTATATTATTTATATTCAAATTTACGTGGTACAAGTCCAACTCGTTTACGCGTAACATTTTTAAATTCTTACAATATACTCTTTTTTTATTTGATTTTTCTTTTAGTGTACATTTTTTAAGAAAATAACTAAAATAACTTTAAAATCCTCATTGAAATATTATCAAAGAAGTTTCCTTGTATTTTTATTATTTGGATTTCAAGTAAACTAAAAATGTATTTTATCTATTTATTGAGAGTTTATAATAAAATAAAAACCAATTAAACAAATTAAACATCATACAGTACTAATTAACGAATTTCTTAATTCGACAGATTTGAAAATCTTTACTAATGAGTCTACACAATAAATTAATTATTTATTTTTGCGTCATACTATATTTCTAGTAATCCCCTGTCGCACTAAGTGTCACTCATGATCACCTTCATACTAATTTTTAAAAATTGCGAGTGATTAGCTGAGTTTATAAATGACCGGGAATCTTCGTTTAGTTATTTCCCGGTCTCATATATAGATAGCCGGGAAATTACTAATTTTAGTTTAAGATAGTTAAAATAGTTAATATTTAATGAGTGACACGCTCCAGGGGATTACCCATTTATTTCCTGGGAAGGAAAACAATAGGGTTTTTTTCCCGAAGGGAAAAAAACCTATTATTTCCAACTCCCCATGAAATAAATAATACTAATTTCCCGGCTATCTATATGAGACCAGGAAATTAATATGCGAAGATTCCCGGTCATTTATAAATATAATTGATCACATGAAAAATTAGTATGAAGGTGATCATGAGTGACACTTAGTGCGACAGGGGATTACTGATTTAATAGAAGTAGTGGCAGGGTAATAAATTTTACCTAAATGTTGCAACTAATAAAAATTCTGTTTAATTGCTTTCTTGTTGTCAAATACCAGCATCATTTAAAGCTAGGAATTGATTTTGTATTGTAACAAAAAATGAAATCATTAAAAGTACTGTGGTTAAACACCATGACCGCTTTGATATTATTATTGTTTTTGTTTGGTTTATTAGTCATGAAGTAGTAAAAAAAAATCACATAACTACAACAAAATCAAAAGACTGAAAAGAGCATGCTCAAAGCTATAAAAGAAAAATAAATAATTAGGAAAGCCAAGTTCTTATTATTGTATTTTTAAACTTATCTTATTATATTATTATCAATTAGTCCAATTTAATTTTTCTATGGCAAGTTTTTGATTATAATAGAAAATAATGATACTTTTTTCAATAACTTTTATACGTATACTAAGATGTTTATAAATACGTTAATGCAATTATATGTCCATTGATTCTTTTATTGGATTATTAGCATAAAAGTTTTGTTAGACCAAAAATATAGATTTCCTTTTACAAATATTTTTTATTGGTATATAGAAATAAATAATTGCAACTAATTGCTATTAATAAAAATTCTTCAAGTGGTCATGAAAACACCCTTCAACAAGAAGAAAGAGAAAGAAAAGATAGAGTGAAAGGAGTTAATTCATTCGGTAATATGTTATAAAATAGAGTTTAAGATATTGTACAACATAAATGAAAGTATTTAGTAAATTCACCAATTTATTTTATAATATATTTTTAAGTAATAAAAAAAAATATGATTATACATATATTAAAAGTAATTAAGAGAAAATCTATTATTTTTCAATATTTGTTGATGAGTGCTGCCTGATGATACTTTTGCAAAGCTTTTTATTACTTAATTTTCATTATCTATAATCATTAGAACATCAGAACCGTTGGAATATTCTGTTGAGAATTCTAAGTTTATTATATACTGAGGTGATATTAGATTATTAGGTATAAGACAATCTATTGTGCGACCCACTAATTTTATACGTTTCGGTATAGATTTTACTAAATTAAGACATAAATTCCATCAATAACCTCCCATTCCCTTGTTATATAGTTGTCATAAAATCTTTTGAATGATGGATTTTTTTCACTTATCATAACATTACCATTCCTTTCATTATTTACCGTAAATTTGCTCCTCAAGAAGATAAAGTGTGAGTGTAAGCCTAGCTCGGTACTTAGAGTTGTTATCTTATTGATCCACGCATCTTCAAGTACAACCTGTAAAAAAAGTCAGTTTTTTATATTCCATTTTTTTTTCCATAAAAGGCTCATATTTCCGGAATTAATAACCTTATATCACGGAATTTATCGAATTATTTGCATTTTCCGTGAATGGATCTGTGAAAGGCTCATTTTTACGGAGTTTTTACAGAAATAACGGATAAATTTTTTTATAGGGACATGATTAGTTGTTCGAATAATTTGTGTTAAAATTACACAAAAAGGCCCGCCATTCATATTTTCCTCACACATAAACTATAAAAGAATGTTTACTGTTGCACAAATTGGCCACAAATTGGCCTACTTTTATAGCGACCGCGAGTGTATTATGAAACACTGAAATGTTGTTTCATCAGAAAATATAATATTATCCCATCTTTTTCTCTTGCCCAGAAATATGACGATTCATGGCAGCTTCAGTGAGAATAGGAACTGGACGAAGAATACAAACTTTATATTCAAGCTTTTGAAATTTTCTCTTACTGTTCATGATGCAATATTAAGACCAGCATAAGTTTTTTTAAGAGTTTCAGTAATTTCAACAGATCTGCGCGATTTTGCGACACGACCAAGGTGATGAAGTTTATTAGGGTAAGACACTGAACGACATTACTTAAAGTCATTGTTTTTAAGTATCGATATCCCTTCCACAATGTCGGTCACCGACTCGGCGACTCACCGTACCGCACCGCACCGCACATGACATCTAAGCCACCATTTCTTTTATATTACGTAAACAAACAAGTCACGTCGTGCAAGAAGTACATCTCTGAGAATGGTGAGGAGTATTCTTTCACTAACACGTTTTCTAATACTAACTATCATGTCAGATCAGAATGAAATTTTTTTCAATTATATTTTTTTTATTAAAAAAAAGAATTTATATTGGTTATTCATTAGTTCAATATACTTATTCATTAGTTCAATATACAAAAAGTGATTAAATATATTAACTGCAAATTTTACATTTAGAATCGCAAGGGATTTTTTTTTTTACATTATCGTTATTATTGCTTGTTGTAATCATCAGCATTGTCTGATATTAATTTCTCTGGCGTCATATTCTAGATTTCGTGTAATATTTCTTGTAATATCGTAAAAATTTTTGCTTAAACCAAAATTGGCTGTATTTATCAAGTGAAGTTTATGAAGAAGAAAAACATAAAGATTATAAAAAATAGGAACTCATTAGAAAAAAATTTCTTTAATTAAAATAGATAACAAATAGTAAATAATCAATTTCAATATCATTTGTGAAAATAAAAATAATAATTTAACTTACTTTACACACATGATACAACTGATATTTGACAATGGTGATATGCATCATAACAAAACATCTAAAACTAATTTAATTTTCAGTATACCTATCAATTATTCTGTCATATTTTGTTATAGTATTCATGTAAATTACTATATTCCATCCATTCAATAATTTTTAATAACCAAATAAAAATTTTATACCTTCATGAGCAACACCAAAAATCTTTTAAAAAATTTTATCAGATTTTTTTTTTAAAATTCTTTAAGAACGTATACTATTTTGTCTTCTGATTTCAATTCTAGAGAAGAATTTATTATTTGAAAATTTTTAAAAAAATAAAATTCTTCACTGTTCATAAGTAATAAAGTAATGATGATATGTTTTTTTAATCCTCTTTGTATAAATAGTATTTATATGAATTAAAAAATTATTTCAATCAATCACATGTTTGGCCAGAATTTGGGTTAAATTTATATTTTTATTTTTTATAGTTAACTGATTCCATTATATTAGAAAATTCTAAAAGGATTTGTTTATCATTAGGTGCGACATTAATATTTAAAAAATATATTTTTACTTTTATATCTTATATAATATAACACGTGAAATGAATTTTTGAATTTCAGCATTAAAATATTTTAATGGAATGTACAGGATCATAACAACGTAGCTTTTCTTGTTAATCAATTTAGTAAATAAAAAATAATGGAAAGTTCCAGAATTTTATGAGCTTGCGTAATTAAAACTCGCACTCAGCCATGTGATTAAAATTCTGACTTGTGAGTTAAAAAACACATTTTTAATTGGACTGATTTATAACCCATCAGGTGATTGGCATAATATATATATATATTTGACAAAATTTTCCATTTTCTAGTTGATCATCCCTTGAGAGAAAAAAATGTTGCTATATAAGTTATTTGAAAGATTGTTACAGAAAAGCATGTGCTGCTGATAGTTTCAAGCTTGCTTTTTGAAGAAAATGAAGTTGAATTTGCAAGCAAAAAATATTGGAAAAAGAAAGGATAGGATAAACTACAAAACATTTATTATAGATTGTTAACTTTATAGCTAGCCACCTACTTCTAAAATTAGTGAATGACTCTCAGGTGAAGGATTATAAAAATTGGTTGACAGATATACTCCTCAGCAAATAAAAGCAAAGAACGATAAAATATAATGACATAATGTGCTGATAAATTTCAACCAAGTTTTGATAAACTTGAGAATAATAAAATTGCAAGAATAAATAAATTATCAATGAATTATATATTTCATAAAATATATTTCTATGGATATATAGAATATAGCTAAACTTCTTTTCCTTCTTCAATACAATGTGCACTTAAATGTAAATAAAGAAGAAGTATTGGTTGATTCAGAAATCAGTTAGAGTGTAAATTAAATGGAACAGACTTTTCAAGAAGTTGTATGGATTGAGTTAAAATATTTGTATACGATGCAATTGAAGCTACAAGAAAGGGCGGGGATTACATTGGTCTTTA